CATTCAGAGGAGCTACTTATTTTTTCTTTTTGATGTCAAAAATATATTTAGTAATTGTCACAAAGGGGTGTAGCTACGTGAGTTTAAACCAACCAAACAGAATGTTAAAGTCTTTAATTACAAACAACAAAAACAGAAAAAGTGTTACAAAGCAGGTATTTTAGAGAAAGCTAACAGGAAACTAAAACAGGACACACAAACACTATTTAAAAAAATGCGAAGAAAACAGGAGTATGGGTGAATTCATACAAAGARCCGAAATCATTTTGACAATTTGACCACCAGGAATAGTAACAATTCATCAGATGAATCAGGAAATAAAGCTACTATTCAGAACTCAAAACCTGTTAGCAATAGAATAAAAACATTTTAATTGTAATGTTCAAAACACTTTTAAAGCGTTCCACATTTACAGAAAATAGYTGTTAAATTGCTGCTTTCTGTAACTGTTTTGTGTTTTGAGAAAAACAGCTTGATGTTTGTTGTTTTTGGCCACAGAGGAACTTAAAACTTCCTCTATTTTCATCTCTCCTGTCATTGCTCTCCTCTCCCTTCTTCAAGCTTCTGCTGAACACCAGCGGCGCCCCCCGGAGGTTCAGACCAGAGATGATTCTGCTTCAGTCTGTGGTGTGATTCAGTTCTTTACTTTCTCCAAACCAAATCGAAGTTTACTCCATTGCTCATCTCAAACGTTTCACTTTTTGTTTTTGTTCTATCCTGCACGTCAGGCCGTTCTCACGCTTTCAGACCTCAGGTTATAAAATCAGTTGCTCGCCCAACCTCTCCCTCTCCTTTCTCCACTGATCCCTCTCCTTTTGCATCAGCACCACCTCTCCCCAAACCTCCCACCTCCTCAGGTAACTAATTAAAACAAAACCTCAGTTTTAGTCTTCCTCCCATCTAACATCTTTTGTTTGTCCAATTTTTTTTATTCCTCTAAGCCTTCCTCACAGACTTTCTTACTTTCCTTATTATCTTGTTTATTTTCAGGCATTCAGGGGGTGTGGCCTACATCTGACATCCCTCCCACTGGTGATGATGTCACCCCCGTCCCTYTGCTGTCTAGTCCAGATCTTGATGCTCTCTGTGACCCAGTGACTCCAGCTCATTCTGCTGCCTTTCTGCTCCCCGCACCTCCTCGCCCCTTGCCTTCTTCTTCTGCTTATATCTCCTCCTCTCTGACTCTTCCTTCAGCTCCTCCTGCTCATATCAGCCCCTGTCACTCAGGTACATCTGCGTTTTAATCAAACTGACTCCAGTCTTTGTTTATTTCAACCTAGATTTAGTTAAAAACTCCATTGCCCTGTGCTTTATCACTTATCCTTATCTGGTTTGTGGTTTTGCTGTCTCTCTTTTACAGGTTTAGCGTTTGGTCTCACTCAGGTGGATGAAGAAATGACTGTAAGCCCTCTAAACCAAGGCAAAAGTCCTCCTCAAAGTAAGCAGGSAGAAACCAACGGCACAATCTCTGAGCAACGACCCAGACTAGCTCTGGAATCGAAGGTGGTCTTCACGGAAAGCAAAGGCGGGTCCGAAAAAACGAGGTGAGTCTGGAACACGTCTCAGATACTCTTCAGCACGYCTTCAGGTTCTGCAGCAGTTAGGTGTGTCAAAGCAGAGAAACCTCTAAAACATGCAGGGTATTGGTCCTTAAGTCGGACACTTGAGTACTTTGACACGTGACCTTGTTGAAGATGAAGGCTGACAGGAGTTCCAACACRCTAGAACTGACTAAAGATGAAACACACTAAACTACACCCTAATTCTAAAATCCAATTATGCTATCTCTCCATCGCCACCAAACTTCATTCGACTTTTGCATCTTTTTATTTTTGTCTTCCTGTAGTTTGTTTTACTGCTTGTCAAATAGCTTTGGGCCTTGATCAGAATGGAGGTCGAGGGTTTTATATTTTTTCGGCTCCGGGTCAAGAAGAAACTGAGGGTGCAATGAGGTGTTTTTTAATTTCCTGCTGCCTGCTGCTGCAACGAATAATCAAATTCAAGTAGGACCATTATTTTCAGAAAAAAAATGTTGTAAACTGTTTATCGTAACTCTGGTTTTACTTGCGTATCAACACAGTTTAAAAACTGGTGCMTAGTTTGAAGCTAACAACCGTATATCTGAACTGCACTGTTGAAATCACATGATGATGATCTCATGCCGACTTTGAGTGCTGGGCACCACTGCTCTAAACCAATCCTTTTCAGTACTCGTGAACACCAAGCTAACATATTTGGGTGCTKTGCCGTGCTAGCATGTTTTGTTGAGTGGCATTTTGTGGGTCGCGGCATCTGAGGATTGTTGATCTGCAGTGTCTTGAAGGCACAACGTGTAGGATTTGTTGTTTTCAGCGACATCTAGTGGTTGAGTGGTTGAATCATCCTCCCT